ATGTTTGATTTTTGCCGATGTTCAAGAGTAAACAAATGACGTCATTATCCAATAAATGTCCAACTAGCCATTCTAATACGCAGTCATGAATGGGCTGACATTATTTATACAATTACCATATTGCAGTAGTCTGCATAACAGCAAATCTTCCATTTTTTGTGTGAATCAAATTACAAAATAGAAAGCAAGATATTATAACAGGGGCCTGGAGACGTGATTGATGAACAGAGAAAATGTTATTTTAGTGCCAGGAATGTTTGCATTGTTCATTCTGGACCCTATTTTGAAATTGACATATTTTTTAATTTGCGTGAAATTGGCCAAATTGCCAATTTCTGACCACTTTATTGGGTAGTTGAAATCGGTAAATGGGCGGTTTCTTGTACTCATTCGATAGAACAAATGGAGTTCTAAAGAAATAGCTATGAGTTTGGTCGACTGGAACAATGGAATTGGCCAAAAATAGGGCTCAAACTGGGTGAAATCGCTGATGAGTAAATGTCACCGATGTCGCTAACTTCGCGAGAGCATAATTCCATAAGTTTTCCATCAAATTTCGTACTTTTGGTGTCATTATCATTGGGAAAAGATTCTCTATCATTTCATAAGAAAAAATAACTTTTTTTTTTTTTTCAAATATTTTGCAACACCAGGAGACACTTCAAGATTTGGGGTTGCGACAGTCAAAAGGTTAACTTCCAGATATGATTAAATACTGTACAAAAAAAGAAACATGCTTAATTTATAACTTGGATGTAAAATTATAATGGTAATTTAAGGAGTTGCAGTAGAAATTGTTTCAGGCAAAGATATTAGCACACAATTTTTTTTTAGTTTTTGTTTCCATTCATTAAGAAAGGCTGGTTGGTAGCATCCTCACACACCGAGAGACTGGGATTACTCCCCAGCACAGGTGAAATATAATGCATGTTTCCTTACACTTTCTGCCCACATTCACCTAGCATTATTTAGGTACTTGGATGTTAGTTGACTTGTGCATTGTATCCTGAGGGAGAAGATTAAAGGACCCCAGTGGGAATAAGATGAACAGTTCTTGATGATGCAGTAACTTTGTTGAGTTAGGGGGGGTTAAAAATCCCAACAAAATCTTATCTTAAATTTTTTAATTCATACAGAAAGTTATTCCATATTTTTCTCCCATTTAGGAGGGCCCCGCTTATACAGCAGGTTAGGTTCCAGGCTACTGCTGTAAAGTGAAATACATATAACCTTTTTTCACTTTCAAATGCATATAAAAGCCTGATAAGATGTTTACACTATCATATATTAAGTGAGGAATAGAGCTAGGCCTTAAAAATGCATATACAGTACACACATTACTTATCTTAAAGGATTTTCTTCCTTAGCTTATATTGAGTGGTGAATAAATTTATTGTAGAGAGGATGAATAAATGAAGAATGGGTTTAATTGAAAACACTGCATTAGCAAAACACTAAAGCGAAAGTGCTGTAAGCGGGGTTGTCCTGTATTTGCAATGAGTTTCTATTGAGATTCAGACAACCATGAATATCAAAGCAAGATATTTTTTGAGTGTGATACATGTGTTCTGTTTACTATTTTCAAGTATCTTTAAGCATCAGCATTATCTGTCTTCTGTACCAAGAAGGGTGATGGACTGATTACATCGTCTTCACGTCTCTGCTGCTCCTGCCTACTTTCTGTGCTCGACTGGGGGGCCTACTGTGTGGGCGAGGCGTTTCATGATGGGGTTGCCTAGCTGTTGCCTGTGTGTCTTGCCTACCAACCAGTTTGAAAATTGCTTATTTGGGCATAAATAAATGCCATTAGGGAAGTATAACCCCCAGGCCAGGCTGTGACAGTAAAAATCTTCAAACCGTTCATAGGTACAGTAACTCAAGAAAACATAATTACTATTGTTTTGAAGTTGTTCTTATCCATCTAATCATTTTCCTCGCAATTGTGATAATGACACTGTTGTTGTCCTTGAAGGTGAGATCCTCTGACATTATCACTCTTAAGTCGTTCACATTAATTTTTCGCTCTATTGTGTGTGGTTAGAATTTCTTATATTGCGTTCTAACTCTTATTTCTTGAGTTTTCTATTACGGAGTAGCTGGAATTTGTCATTAAATTATCTTATTTTCTGCAGCCCATCGGAAAACTTGGTTTACATCGATCACGGAAAGGAAAATGCAGTAACATTGACAACTGGGACTTCTTCTATGGCAGAAATGACATGTATGCCAGGGATGGGGTTCACATATCTAGGTTTGGGGTGGGAGCACTGGCAACTGCAGTGGAGAGAGCTGTTAGATCTTTAAACTAGGAATAGTGGTACGGGTTTTGGCGGGAAAACAGTGAAGTCCCAGTGTAGTAATATGAGTACTAGGAGAACTAGTAATAGGCAAAATGAGGTGGATATTGGAAAGCCAGTGGCATTAGGTGACAAAGACAGTAATAGGTTTAGTGGAATAACAGAAAGGAGCAGGAAGGGTAAAGAGAAAGGAGGGTCTTGAAATATATATTACATAAATAGTTGTAGTGCTAGGAATAAGATGGACGAGTTGAGACTAGTTGCTAGTGCAGGTAACATTGATGTACAGTGAACCCCCGGTTCACGTTATTAATCCATTCCTGAGAGCTCATCATAAAGCAAAGTTATCGGAAAGCGAATCAATTTTCCCCATAAGAAATAATGGAAATCAAATTAATCCGTGCAAGACACCCAAAAGTATGAAAAAAAAACTTTTGCCACATGAAATATTAAGTTTAATGCAATAGAAAAATTACAATAACAATAGAATAATCACAATAGAATAAGTGACACTTACCTTTAATGAAGATCTGGTGATGATTGATGGGATGGGAGGAGGGGAGAGTGTCGAAGTTTTTAATGTTTAGAAGGGGAATCCCCCTCCATTAGGACTTGAGGTAGCAAGTCCTTTTCTGGGGTTACTTCCTTTCTTCTTTTAATGCCACTAGGACCAGCTTGAGAGTCACTGGACTTCTGTCACACAACATATCTGTCCTTAGAGGCCTGTACCTCTCGTTCCTTTATGACTTTCCTAAAGTGGTTCACAACATTGTCATTGTACAGGTTGCCAACACGGCTTGCAGTAGCTGTGTCAGGGTGATTTTCATCAAAAAAGGTTTGCACTTCAAGCCACTTTGCACACATTTCCTTAATCTTTGAAGTAGGCAACTTCGTCAATTTCTCTATCCCCTCCTCCGAAGCAGTTTCCTCAGGTCTGGCCTCTTGCTGTTGAAGATGATCTAGCAGCTCATCAGTGGTTAGTTCGTCATTGTCCTCCTCCACCAACTCTTCCACATCCTCCCCACTAACCTCCAACCCCAAGGACTTTCCCAATGCCACAATGGATTCCTCAACTGGCATAGGATTCCCAGGGTTAGCCTCAGACCCTTCAAAATCCCTTTTGTCTACACATTGTGGCCACTGTTTCTTCCAAGCAGAGTTCAAGGTCCTCTTAGTCACTCCCTCCCAAGCCTTACCTATAAGGTTTACACAATTGAGGATATTAAAGTGATCCTTCGAAAACTCCTTTAGAGTCAATAGAGTATCTGTGGTCACTTCAAAGCACCTTTCAAACATAGCATTTGTGTACAGTTTCTTGAAGTTGGAAATGACCTGCTGGTCTATGGGCTGCAGGAGAGAAGTGGTATTAGGAGGCAAAAACTTGACCTTAATGAAGCTCATGTCCCCACAAAGTCGGTCTGACAAGTCTGTAGGATGACCAGGGGCATTGTCTAACACCAGGAGGCACTTAAGATCTAATTTCTTTTCAATTAGGTAATTTTTCACAGTGGGGGGAAATGCATAGTGTAACCAGTCATAGAAAAAGTCCCTAGTGACCCATGCCTTAGTGTTTGCCCTCCACAGCACACACAAATTAGCCTTGAGGATATTCTTTTGCCTGAACGCTCTGGGAGTTTCTGAGTGATACACCAATAAAGGCTTCACTTTGCAATCACCACTAGCATTGGCACACATCAACAGAGTAAGCCTGTCTTTCATAGGCTTATGTCCTGGGAGTGCCTTTTCCTCCTGAGTAATGAAAGTCCTGCTTGGCAATTTCTTCCAAAACAGGCCTCTTTTGTCACAATTAAACATTTGTTCAGGTTTCAATCCTTCAGCCTCTATGTACTCCTTGAATTCGTGCACATATTTTTGAGCCGCTTTGTGGTCTGAACTGGCAGCCTCACCATGCCTAATCACACTGTGTATGCCACTACGATTCTTAAATCTTTCAAACCAACCTTTGCTGGCCTTAAATTCACTCACATCACCACTAGTTGCAGGCATTTTTCTAATTAAATCCTCATGCAACTGCCTAGCCTTTTCACAAATGATCGCTTGAGAGATGCTATCTCCAGCTATCTGTTTTTCATTTATCCACACCAGTAACAGTCTCTCAACATTTTCTAAGGCTTGCGATCGCTGTTTTGTAATCACAGTTGCACCTTTTGCAAAAACAGCTTCCTTGATTGCCGTTTTCCTGCTCACTATAGTAGAGATGGTTGATTGGGATTTACTATACAACTTGGCCAGGTCCGACACTCGCACTCCACTTTCATACTTTGCAGTTATCTCTTTATTCATTTCAATAGTCATTAGCACCCTTGGTCTCGAAGGGTTGGCACTAGAAGCTTTCTTGGGGCCCATGGTGACTTACTTTGCAGAAACAAGCACCAGAAACAGTGATGATATGGATAATATGGAATGTACCAAATGTATCCTTAGATGCACGCACACTGGCTGGCTTGTAAACACTGGCACACACGGGGCAGTTCAGGCCACATGTGGACACGTCTCGTACGAATCGTATTGTGTATCGGGTTTTGTAACAGGAACCGAGGCAAATTTTTTGCGATATTCATAAATATTGTAAGCGGATGGATGCTCATAACTATTTAATGATTTTTTTATACATGAGAAGAGTTTTAGCAAGGATTATCTCTATTACAAGGGTTTTAACAATGGTTATCTCTTGTCCTACAGATTGAACAAGACCACCAGCAAGACAGCTGTCAACTACTTTGAATCTTCTTTTGAGCAAGAACGGCAGATCAAAAGAAATAAGAAAGAAGAACCCAGCAGCCCTGTAATTCTTGCAAATCCCCTTCGTGACAATGCAACTCTGTCTCCATATGATGACGATCATTCTGCTTCTGTGTTCTTTAATCCATTCCACAAAGCACAAGAGGATAAAAAGATGGTGTTGGAGAAACATGTAAAAATGACAGAAAATCCTAAAGATGTCCTAGAAATCAACGGAAAGAAAATTTGTTGGAATTATAGAAAAGGTCGCTGCAAATTTGGACATAATTGCAAATTTGCACATGATTCAGATATAAGCCAGCCTTATGACTCGAGAGAGACTCAGAACTCCATTACAAACTCGAGTGCAGCATCAGTATCCTTTGGGGAGTTAGGAACCCAGGTGTTAGTAGCAGAACCAACGGTAGATGAAGTAACACTAAAAAAAAAGAAAAAACGTCCAGGTTTGTCGGATAAAATTATTCCAGGTAAAAAGGTACAAAAACTGCACCGCAAACAGCAGGCCAGAGAAACGCCATGGCTTTTGAAGCGATGATTTTTTTTTTTTCAGTCAGTAAAGTGTACCTTTTGTAGGGTAATCAATTTCTTTATTCCAAGTAGGAGCTGGTAAGTGTGTTTAATAATTAAAATTTGTATTTTTGTAAAATTCTTAATAGACTTCCAGTTCATTGTAATATGCAATATAGTATAAAGCACTGCACTAAGTGTAAAATCAATATTTTTCACAAAGTATTAATAGCACTTGAATTCATTAAACAGTGTGTATCCCTGTTTTTTTATGATGCAATTTCATACCAGAGATATGCAGTACATTGTTATTATTAATATTCAATGTTGTTTATAGTCATTCTCTTATAAAATATAATGGTTATATTCTTCATGAAACAAGAAATGCCATATGCAATTCACAATCACCCAACAATTTGAAAATTTTAAGCAACATTGCAGTTCCTTGTGGCCCATTATGAAATCAGGATGTACCATATACTATGCATAGGTGTACAGTTTTGGAAAATGTAACAATAATTCCCTGTTAAGTAAAAGAACAATTTGTTACAGCAGAAATGCAACAAATTGGCTTGTCCATAATTACACATATGTTAATATTCACAAGAGATAGAGCTTAGAAGTCAGTGAAAGTTTGCATTGTGTAACTAGAATAGAAATGTTTAAAGTAAAAAAAGAATATTTTTCTAGGACAAATGCTCCATTTATTTATTGATGGGTATATATACTAAGAGGTATGTATCTCTCAGAATATATACATACTGAGATTATAGCTTGAATGGGTTTAAAGCATATTGATTACACAAGGGACATTAAGACTGCATGTTATCCGTTCACCATGTCAAGAATACTTTAATTCTTAAAATGGGCTTTACAGTAAAATTTCAGTGATTGTACTGTACAATGAGAGAGACATCTCTCGATGCATATGTCCTGGGCATTGAGAGTTTCTTTTAATCCATCTTTTAGAAATCAGGTTATCCTTGACTGGTGGTATACAGGCAGTATGTAGCCTGAATGAGCCTTATATGGTTAACAGGTTTTAAACCTAATAAACCAACCAACTAATCCCTATATTCATTCTGTTTCATTAATGGCTTGTCATTCCATAATGTAGGAGTCTTTAACCCTCACATTTTTAAGTCTACATTTACAAGATAACACAGTTCACTGTGATGACCACTTTCCAAACAGACTTTTAACAGATTACTTGGTATGCAGTATTATAATTGATAGTGAACTAGCTCATACAGATATTACATGTAGTAATAAAATGCCTTTCTAGTTAGAATGCAAATTTTCAGGTAGTGACAAGGATTGATTAATTTGTCTTATAATGCAGTTTATTAATGAAGTTATTTTTTCAGTTGGTAAAGTCAGCTGGTGTAGCATAGATTTCCATACCTATCATGAGCTATGTATATCATCATTATATTAAGAGTACTGAACTCCATCATTACCTAAAGCATGATATATTTGTACATTTATATGTATCTCAACATTAAATATAACATTCTAATGCTGATACATAATTAATTGCTATATACACTTCTCTCAACTTGTAATTTTATATTTTAACTTGAAAATTTGGATACTTCATGTATACAGTGTTTTTATTATTCATCTATATACATGTATATAATGATTCTCCTAGGCAATGATACGTATTCATTTTTTTTTTTTTTTTGACAGTCAATGTTTATATGGTATTTTAAATATTTATGTTAAAAATGTTCACTTAGTGCATAAAATTTTCCACTGATTTAAGAATTAGCCTTAGCCAGGGTGTGTATAGTTTTTGCTGGAAGGGTCTTGAGAGGTGAAGTGTATATGTCATGTTTATAATAGCCAGAAGTGGTCAAACATGTCAAACTGCCCTGAGAACACACACAGTGATAGATGTACTTTTGTGAACTAATATTCTATACAAATTTTTAATCTTTTATCCAAACTAGTGTAGCAGCTTCAGCTAACCTTGTTAAAAAATATACTGCAATTTAGTTTAAGGCAACTCAAAGTATCGTAGTGCTCTCTTACACAAATGAAATACAATACAGTATATAAAGTTCTTTCTGATCAAAATGATTTTCATAGTGAATCTGTGCTGTTTTAGCAAAATGATCATTGTTTCATAAGACAAAATCATAAACACTTCCTAAAAAGCACTACATATACACAACGCTTCTCCAGTCAAGAGACCAAGAACTAATCACTTTCAGACTGATTTATTGTTACTTTCTTGAGGAACACTCATGTGGCTTCAGGCAGTTCACAAATTCTGAGAATTGATGCAGATACTAGGAGCAGCAGTATCTTAAAAATGCAGAATTTATTATGTAATTTGCCAAATAAAAAAGAATAAGTGACAGTACCATGGCTGGAACAATTGTCAAATAACTTGAACTTGTGAGAGGAAAGTTATGACTGTGTGTCAGTTCATCCTGGACCATTGTCAAGTCACAATTGAGATAAAGCGGGGAAGACCTGAAGAGAGGTCAGGTATGGACAGCAGGAAGGTGGTGGTAGTACTAGTAGTGATATTAGTAGTAATAGTAGCACTAGTAGTAGTAGTTAGTAATACTGTAGTTAGGACTGTAGTAGTAATACAGTGGAACCTCTACTTACGAGTTTAATCCATTCCATGACCTTGCTCGCATCTGGATTTGCTCGTTTGCAGAGTCAGTTTTCCTCATTTAACCCTTTCAGGGTTGGCAGGTCCTCTCCCAAACCTGTTCTCAGGGTCAGTAAAAATTTGAAATTTAAAAAATTATTTTTCATTATGAAAAGATAGTGTTTTTTTTTTTCTAAATTTTGTAGGCTAAACAAAAAAATTTTACCATCAATACTTACCGAGATATGGAGGCGTGAAGTTGACAGAAAATGACCGGCATATGGTAACATCGCTGACTGTCGGTCACCCGGTGTTACTTTATTTTCTTTTTCCGGTACTATTTTCTATTATTTTTTTATTTTTTTTCCAAGTAACTTTTATGGCCTGTGAGACCAATGTGAGCACTATTTTGTAAGTTATTTCTTTTTCTATACTTCACAATAACTGCACAAACACTGTTGTCACTATTTTGTTTACAAAACTTATTTACACAAACGAACAATACAAAATGTTGTTTATTACTATTTTTCTATATTTTATATACACATATACAGTCACAGGACATGTTTTTAGAAGTTCTGCAGCCTGTGGAAGTCTTTGAAACATGGTGTCATGCACAGTGGTGTTTTACACTCCTCACACATAAAACGAGTGTGTCTGCATTGTTGTGGGCGTTTTTTTGTATGTGCACAGACGTAACACCTCTTCTGAGCCTTTTTCTTGAAAGCAGTAGCAGGCAGTTTTACTAGGAAGTGATCACCATGCTTTAGACGAGAAGGTAGTTGTTGATAATTACGTGGGCGACTTTCTATTGCAGGTGCTGTTCCTTGGTACTTGATTATTATTTGTCTGATGACAGACAAACAAAATTCGCCATATGGTGGTTTGTTTCTGGTCCTCATCTTATATATATTATAAGCATTGAGCATGGAAATGTCCAGAATATGGAAAAAGAGTTTTATGTACCACTTATAACTCTTGCGAACACAATCAGCAAACCCAATCTGCATGTCACATTTGTCCACTGAATGCATATTGAGGGTGTAGTCAGTCACAGCTGCAGGTTTTAGAATGGGTTCATTGCTTTCTCTATGCTGCCTGCCAGTGTCTGCCATTTCATTAGGGTGAACTGATGACAACAGTGTGACATCTCGTTTGTCATGCCACCGAAATGCCATGATATCATTGGCAGCAAACGCCTGCACCTCACCTCTAGGAGTACCACCGTCGAACCTGGGCATATGTTTATGATTTGCATGCACTGTGCCACACACATCTGTCATGTTCACTCGCAAGAAATCACTGAGTAAGGGCTTGTGTACCAGTTATCAGTATACGTATAATGTATGTCCCTTACTAAGATATGGTTCCATCATTGTTCTAACCACATCACTGGAGATACCCAATAACTTCCTGGTATCAAGCAATGTATTACTTCCAGTGTACACAATTATATCCAATACAAGACCACTGTAACAATCACAAAGCACAAACAACTTTATACCAAAGTGTTTCCTCTTGATTGGTATGTATTGCTTGAATGAGAGTCTTCCTTTGAACAGAATCAAAGACTCATCAATAACAAGCTTCCTGAAAGGATAAAAATACATATTGAATTTCTGTTTCAGATACACTAACACATTCCTAATCTAATATAACCTGTCATTTCTGTCAGGCCTGGATTTGTCTGAGAAGTGAAGCATATGTAATAGTAGCACAAATTGATTTACTCCTATTATATCACTGAAACCTGGGGTTGCAATCAGGCGGTCTGTTGACCAGTATGATTTCACACTGTGCTTATACACATGTGACATAAGCATTATTGTGACAAACAAAAGATACATCTCAGCCACAGTTGTCTCCTTCCACTGGTGTAGACGTGAGTTTGGTGAAAGTACATGTACAGTGGTCCCTCGTTTTTCGTAATTAATCCGTTCCTGGAGCAGTTACTATAAAAGAAATTTACGATTTGCGAATCAATTTTCCCCATAAGAAATAATGTAAATACAATTAATCCGTTCCTGACACCCAGAAGTATTAAAACAAAAAAATTGTTTACATGAAATATACATATAGTACATAAACAATACAATAAGAACATAAGAACATAAGAACGAAGGAACACTGCAGAAGGCCTACTGGCCCATGCGAGGCATGGAAATGATGAATGAAATATTAACAGCATAACACTTACCTTTACTGGAGATTCTTCTTAGTGTATGGGAGACTGGAGGAGGAGAGAGATTGGATTGTTTACAGTTTGGAAGGGGAATCCCTTTTCAGCAACACCTCAGGTACCAATTGCTTCTCTGGGGTTGCTTCTCTTCTCTGTTTCTTAATGCCACTAGGACCACCTTGAGAGTCACTCTAGTCCTGTCTCGCAAAGTAACTGTGGAGAGAGCTCTGTTTCTGGTGTCTCTTTAACACTTCCCGAAAATGCCCAAGACTTTGTCACTGTACATATTTCTCACCTTCTTTACCACAGGCTTGGCACTAGGAGCTTTCTTTGGAGCCATGGTAGCTTATTTAGTAATTGCAAGCACTAAAATGAGTGGAATATTATGAGATATTTCATAGGAGCACTTGAGGGGACCTTCACTCACTGGTAAACAATGCCAGACTGGCTGGATAGGGAGGCCGCCCCGTCTCACACCGTGCGTACGCGTCCCGGAAGAACTACTATTCGCGAATCAACCTATGAAAAGCGAGTCCATGTTTATATGAAAATACCCCTATGATTGGCGAAATTTACGATTGCCGAGAACTACGAAAAGCGAGGGACCACTGTATTGTGTTTGCCATGGTGTATTCATAGTACGTATCTGTTGCTTTCCCTGACAATAATTTCCATCAGGGGTTTGTCAAAGAATAACTCGAAACATTCCAGTTCACTGGCATTGTTCCCAAGTGTACAAGATGGTCGTATTCCACTTTGACTTTCATCAAAGTGATGGGGATTGGGAACAAAATTGGCAGCTTCCTGCCAATCCCAGGTGGGGTTTGCTGGTGGGTACTGGATATTGACAGGTTGTTGTGGAGGTTGTGGTTGTGGAGGCTGGTGTGGTGGGTGGGTGGGGGATGGTGGCCTTTGTTGTAGATCAGCTGAGGCAGCGGCATGGGTGGCAGTGTGGGTGGCAGCATGGCCCATTGCTGGTGCCTCATGGCCGGCACCACCACTACTACCACCATGCATGTTTTCCATCCCAATTGCAACACTATCATCTTCATTTTCACTGTCTGTTCCTGTTGTACAGCCACGGGATGTACTCCGAGATGTACTCCTTCCCCTTGGAATAGCATAAGGCACGCTACCAGAGTGCATATACCGTCGTATATACTGACGCTTCACTGGAGAATATTCCACTTCACTATCGCTACTTGAACTGTTTTCAAGAGCTTGTAGTTTATATTCACTATCACTATCATCACCAATGCTCACATCTGGGTCCGGGATTTGGGAAAATAGGAGTTTCCTCCTTGATTCTGGTACAATTGAACGTGAACAAGACGGCCCAGCACCAGAAGTGGAAGGCTGAGGGTCGTCTGGGTTTTCCCTCACTATTACAGGTATTATGGTCATTAGTTTCAGTCACAACCTCATCAAAATCTTGAAGCTCATCTTCACTGGCACTTCCATCTGTATTAGAACTGTCACTGGGGAACAAAAGTGTCCCAATTCGCCGAGGAGTGAGGAGCTTCTTATCGCAAGGCATGGTGTACAAGGTCTACTAAAATGGTGTTCCCACAATGCACCACTGGGTCCCAGAATTTTTTTCTACCATGCACACCGACCACGCAGACCCATTCTCTCACATCTAGGCCTACCAGCTGTTTCTTGCTTAATTTGAAGCCGCTAGAATTTATGTGTACTAGTATGGCACCAACCCTGGCGTGCAAGCCGTACTAGTACA